ATTATGCATTGGTTCATGCAGACAGACTAAAGAAATTCTGCTGACCAAAAGAGTTCTGTCACAGAAGACAACGCCACATGGAACGCCTATTTTCCAAAAGTATCAAACATCTTCCTTACAACTTTAACAAGCTGGGTTATCATCGTGAATAAAAGAGACAAGGCTACTCTTGCTTACTCTAAGTGTTGTAGGTCGCTTGGTTGCATGCCATTTGAACCTTTCACAAGCACAGTTGTTAACTCAGAAAATTGTAGAGCATCTATTCTGGACATGTTCTTTATGAGAATGAGTTGATGTTAAAGCACAAATCTTTGTTAGCATTGTGGTAATGGCATTATTCAGTCTTTTAACTAGCAACTAGACTAATAAAGCCAACACGAAACAACGTTGTGTTATATGGCTAAATTGAAAGTCCACATCCCACACAGCCTGAAGACAGACTAGAGAGCTAATCGTACTCCAGGTGTTTGTAACACTTCAGAAGCTGTATCTGCTGTTCCTAGCTGCATCCCTCACCCCGAACTTCACATATGGGTAATTTTAAGCAGTACTGTGCCTCTGCCCACTGCTCTAACTCTGGGGATGGGAGTGATCCAGGCTACAAGTCCAGGCAGACTGTTCTTCCTGTAAATGGCTGAGGAAAACGATTGTGTGGGAGATGGTGCCAAGCGAGAAGAGAAAAGGAGCAGCCTGGAAGAAAGCTTCCAAATACACACTCCCACTGCAGAAACACTTTATGGCTGTCCTGAGGCTGGGGAGATGAACAAGCAGCTGCAAGCTCTTCCCAAGCTGTTTGTTTGCCAGCCTTCTCTCCGGGCAGCCTGTGGCACAGCCAGCTGTGAGAGCAGCAGAAGTAGGTGTAACAGCTCTGCCTACACGGGAGCTCTCTGCTGCTCCACAGAGCCACTTCACAGCATGAGTCAAGTGGGAGACAAAAGGCGGGATCTGGCCCACTACGGTTTCTAATGTTATCCCGTTTTTTTAGAACAGAAAAATAGGAAAGGTTAGAAAAAACAAGAGAGAACCTGGAGAGAAGGTAGAAGGCAGAACGCAGAAAGATTGAGACTCAATATATGCAAAGTATATGGAATGTAAAATACTTCAGGAATGTAAAATACTTCAGAAGTAACTAAGAAACATTATTATAATTATAATGCTGAGAAAATACACAAAATATCATACAGCCATTTACTAGCTCCCCCCCTGAAAAAAGCTGAGTTCCTGATTATTCTGTGGAGATGGCAAAAA